ACACACACACAAACACACACGCAGAGACACAGACACAAACACGGGGACACAGACACAAACACACAGACACACAGACAGACAGACACAGGGACACACACACGCAGGGGGGGACACACAGACACACACACACACATGGACACACAGACAGACACAGGGACACGGACACAGACAGAGACAAGGACACACAGGCACGCGCACACACGGACACACAGACACAGGGATATACACGTGGGGGGGACACGCACACAGGGGGACACACACACACGTGGATACACAGACAGACACAGGGACACAGACAGACACAGGGACATACAGACACGCAGGTACACACACACACAGGGGCACAGACACACATATACACACAGATATGGCTGTGAACAGATGCGTGTGCACAGATGCAGTTGGACATAGACACGTGTGTGAACAAAGACAAGCGTGTGAACATGGGAGAACACGCAGAGACGTGTCTGTGAACGCACACAGGGACATGTGTGAACACAGATGTGTGTGAGCACAGTGTGTGAACACACGGACACTGGTGTGAACAGACACGGGCCTGGAGACACACAGACACAGATATGAACATACAGAGAGACGTGTAAACAGAGACAGTGTGTGCACAGACACACACATGGGCAGACACCCGTGCTGAAAAGCACACACAAATACACGTGTGCACAGACAGGCACAGATGTGTAAACACACACACGGGTGGACACCCCCCCCCATGTGCACATACACATGTACACACCCCCATGTGCACACACACACACACACACACACACACACACACACGTGCACGCACACACAGACCTGTGCACAGACACACGTGTACACACGTGTGCACACGCGTGCATACACCCACGTGTGTACACACTCACACCCACCCCCCCAAGTGCACACACACGTGTGTACACACAGACACACGTGCACACACACCCTCTCATTTGCATATCCCTGCCCCGCCCCCGTTCCACCCCTCCTCCAATGGGATCCCCGCCCTCCCCGCAGGCAGCCCCGCCCCTCCCTCCTCATTGGCTGCCTGCCCTTCCCGCCCGCCCCCTGCCGCAGAGCAGCCCAAGGGGAGCGGCCCCCGGGTGATCCCGGTGGTACATCCAGACCCCCGCTGGAGAACCCCCTCCCGTCCCTGGGACCGAGGGACGTCACCTGGGGACGCCCAGGTGGGGTGTCCAGGGCACACCTGCACCCCCCAGGGGACACGTGCACCCCACCTTAGGGACACCCGGGAAGGGGGACGGGGTGGTGACACAGCCAGGAAGCGAAGGCAGGCCCGAGGCGGGTGAGGGTCGGGAGGGGGGCCGTGATACCCCACGTGCGTCCGGGAAGGCGAAGGGATGTCACGGAGCCATCAGTGGCAAGAGGCTGGAGCGGGGCAGCTCCTGGCCGGGAGCCCCGGGCCCTGTTCTGGGACTAGTTCGGAGGATTAAAGGATTTAATCCCGGGATTTGAACCGCGGCTGGGAGCAGGGCGGGTGGAGGGGGCACTTGGTAGTTTGGGCAGTTTTTCATTCCAGTTTTGGCATCTTGGGCAGCGCCAGCGCGTGCCAGCACCAAACCCTCCGGGGACTTCTCCTCCAGCATCAGATTCCACGGCCCAGGATAACTGTCACACTGGGCTGGGATGAAAGCGCCGCATTGATCCCGGATAATAAATTGCTCCTTAGCAGGATGGCGGGAATGAAAACCACAGCCCTGATACGAGGATGACGGGCAGACTGGGGTGTCTCCTGCCGTGCAGGGATGGCTACTGGAGCCAGAGGAGCAGCCCAGGGCTGGATCCTGCCCCAGTCCCAGCCCAGGCACTGAGGGGTCCCGGCACAGGCCCCATCCTGCATCCCAGCCCGGGACTCCACTGCAGTCCCAGTCCAAGCTGGATCCTGCCCAGGCCCAGCTCCTGGCCAGGCATGGGGAGTCCCCAGCTGGCAGATGGGGGTGGAAAGAGCATCCCAGTGGATTGGAGCATCCTGGGATTCTGGAACATTCCAGGAGGGAACAGGGCATGGGGGGGTGGGGAAACCAGAGCAGCTGGGGGGCTGGAGCACCCAGGGTGGGGATCAGTGAATCCTGGGGCATTGGAGCATTCCACAGGACTGGAACATCCAGGGAGGGGCTTGAGCTTCCTGGGGAGGAGGGGTCAGAACTACATGGCCCAAGCTTGAGTCGCCCCCCCGAGGGCAATTTTGGAGTGCATAAGTCTCAACTGGAGCCCCTCAGTTCCCAACGAGGCCACCCGCCAACCCGTCACAGGGAGGTCGATGTATGAAATTTATTTAGGAAAACCAAAACCCACCAGAAAAGAGAAATAATAATAAAGTAGGAGGAGAAGGGGGTGAAGGAGGTGGAGAAGTTGGAAGAGAAGGAGGTGGAGAAGTTGGAAGAGAAGGAGGAGGAGGAGGAAGAGGAGAAAGAGGAGGAAAAAAGAAGGAGAAAGGGGAGGAGGAGAGGAAGAAAGAGAAGAGCCGTCTCCTCCTCAGGCTCCGCTGGAGCCCAGAACAACCAGTGCTGCGAGAGGGAAGGACGGAAAAGCTGGAGGAGGTTTGCACACCCACACACGCCCGGGCACACTCATGGGTGAGCTGGGCTGGGCTGGCTGCACTCCCCCGGATCCAGAGGGGTATGTACAGGGGCGGGAGCCAGGAAAGCATCGACCACCTACGCACACCAGCAGCGGGGGCTGGAAAAGTGGGATACAGCTGGGAAACAGGCATCCCTGCATGACCCCCCATGGTGTGGTACCCTGGATGCAGAACCCAAGCGCAGGACACCCCCACATCCATCGGATGGAGAGACCCCCACGTCGCCAGGCACCCCTGGGTCGGCACTGGGATGCGGGGCCCATCTGGGAGCAGTTGTACCCCCTGGCACGTCAGTGCCACAGCCATGCCAGCACCACGCCAGAGATGGAGCCGCTGTCCTCTTCCTGCAGCTTTGGGGTTTGCTGCCTTCTGGGACCCCCCGGGTGGCGTGGGGAACGGAGAAGGGCTTGAGGGGGCCTTGGGGACAAAGCCGTGGGCCAGCAGCCAGACGCGGTCACCAGGTGGGTCCCACCAGGGCTCGGGCAAAGCGTCTCGCTCAAGGCATCTCCGAGTAGGTAAGGCAAAAGGAACTCAGGTCACTTCGTCTGCGCGGGGCAGCTCAGCGCTGGGCTCTCCCGTGGCTGCTGCAGACACACGCTCCAGGGATCCCAAGAACACGGGAATGAAGGCATTGCTTACAGACGAGCCCAGGAGAGGAACGGCCTCAGTGTCGCCCAAATCCTGGAGGGACCTGCTGTGCACCACTGGGATGGTGCCATGGAGTGCTGCAGAGGAGTGAGGATGGCACAGCAAATGGCCCCACGTCCACTCTTGAGCCTGGTGGGACCAGCATCCGTGGGACTGATGCCAGCAGTGCCAGAATTTCACCATGCTGCTCCCGTCACCTGCCCCTGCTCTGGTGGTGAACCCATGCAGCTCCCACGAGCTGGGTGATGCAGCCTGGGGGCTCAGTGCACCTCAGTCCCTCAGGGCTCAGCTCCCACCCTCATCCCCGACACCCCCTTTGGCTGACCCCCGGCAGGGCAAGCTGCTCACCACGGTTCCCCTGCTCGTGGGTGTTTCAAGTGGCTTTGGATGGGGTGAGGGAGCCCTGGGTCACACACAGTTGGACCCTGTGGGGCTGGTGGACCCCCTGGGGCTGAGGGGGTCCATAGGGGTTCAGCTGTGGCACCGGAGGGACCACAGGAGGGTCAGCAAGGTCCACGCACGGTGGTCTGTAGGAGAGGAGGAACCACGAAAGACCATGAGGGTCCAGGTAGGGTGGTCTGCAGGGCCAGAGGAACCACAGGAGGTTGGTGGGGTGCATGCACGGCTGTCAGCATGACAGGGGAGTGGTGGGAGACTATCAGGGTCCATGGACGGCCAGAGTGACCACGGGAGACCAACAGCATCCGTGCACGGGGCCAAGCAGGAGCAGAGGGAGCCCAGGGCGCCGGCGGGGTCCGTGCACACGGGTCAGTATGGCTGGAGCTGTGAAGCCACTGCGAGCCAGGGGTGCTCCCGACGCGCTGGGCACCAGGGAAGCTGCTTGCGGTGAAGAGGCTCCTGGGTGGGCACCACAGGAACACCCACGCAGCGGGGACACGGTGGGGACACAGCAGGGACACGGATGGGACCGGATGGACCCCCTGCGGAGCACAGCCCCCCCCCCCCGTGTGTGCAAAGCAGAAGCAGGGCCCCCAGCCTTGGCACACGTGTAGCCCTTGCAGGGGACGTGGCTGCGTGGGACTGAGCTGGGCGAGGGATACGAGTCCTTCCATGGGTGAGCAGATCCAGGGGTCCCAGGGAGGGGGGAATGTTAGCCAACAGATGCTCAGCAGCTACTGGGAAGAGGCCAGAGCAGGTTCTCCAGGGTGGGACCCAGCAGGGCATGCAGGCACAGTATCCCCATGGCCATCCCGCTCCAGGTGCCTCTTCCCTCCTCCAGCTGGAGCCAACCTCCTTCCACAGGCCACATCCACAGAAACACACACCTCCACTCTGCAGCCACACCGTGGCTTTCCCACTGCCCCTCACCATCCTGCCAATCCCCCTCTGTCCCACTGACCCCCACACACCCATTTCAGGGACACTGACCCCTCCAGGGCTGCTTCCACTGAGGACTCGTTCTCATCGTCACCCCACGGGGACAGGGCCTGCAGCCTTAAGGCAGTTTAAAGCACATCCATCCCCCAGCCCCACAGTGTCCCCTGGTGCTCCCAGCCAACAAGGCAGTGTCCCTGGGCCCACCGGGTGGAGGGGACACCTGGACACCTGCCCCAGAGGGAGGAGACAGTCACCCACTGGTGGGGAAGGGCCAGCAGTGGGTGCTGGCAGCACACAGCCCTTGCTGTCATGGTCCAGAGTCACTGATGTCCCCCCAAAACTCCCCCCCATGGTTTGGGGGATGAGGCTTGGGGATGCTCCTGGCCCAGCCGTGGCTGTGGCCCCCCCATCACCTCCCTCACTCGGCCGCAGCCTCGGGGGGCTGCCCCACCTCGGGGTCCAGGCAGCCATTGAGCTGGGGGTCCGGGGCCTGGGGGTCATAGTCCTCATCCAGAAAGTCCAGGGAGTTGTTACTGGGCAAGCCTCGGATGGTGAATTTGTGGGAGACCTTGGTCCACTGCTCCCGGTTGCTGGCCACCCGCTCGTAGAGCTCTGCTGCCTTGGGGAACAGGTCCTGCAGCAACCTGGGGGGTGGGGGGTACACCCCATCAGCACGGGGCTGCACCTCCTTAGCTGGGTGGAGCCCCATCCCTACTGCTTGGAACCCCAACCTATGCAAGACACCCTGTGCAGCACCCCCATCCCACCCTGAGAGGGGTGGGGGGTGGCAGGGGGTCCCCCCCCCAGTGCCAGCCCCGGGGCTCACTTGTAGATGGGCATGGCGATGTGCTCCATGAAGCTGATCTGCAGCTCGGGGATGTAGGCTTTCTCTCGGTCCATCATCTCCAGCGGGCTGTTTCCCATGGCTTTCTCCTGCACGGAGCCGTCAGATGTTAGCCAACAGTGCCAGTGGCACTCCCCCACCCCATTCCTGGGCAAGACCTCTCTGCTCACCACCCACCCCCACATCCCATTCTCCCTGGTGCTTGCCAAGGGCGTTGGCCAAGCCCAGCCCTGCCAGGTGGCACCTACCAGATCACCCTGGGAGAAGAACTCCTTGTAGATCAGCTCCTGCAAGGGAAACGTGTCAGTGCGGGGGGTGCAGCCCGGGCTGACCCCCCAACCCCTGCCCTCCAGACCCTTCCCCACAGCTCTGCATCAGGCAGGGACACAGTCCTGGCATGGGGGGACTGCTGCACCCTCCAGGGTCCCGCGTGGAGGGGCAGGTGGGTCCCTGGTGCCATGCAGGTGACCTGGGAGGGTTGTGGGGCGGTGTTCAGGGGGCAGTCCCGTGGTGTGGCACTCACTGCAATCTTCCTGGTGGTCTTCCAGCCCTTGGTCTGGTCAGAGAGGTCGCAGGAGGTCATGAGCAGGCAGAGCAGCAGGCTGCGGTGCTGCTTGTTCTTGGGGTCATACCCCACTGCAGGCAGAGAGCGGGGAGGGGTTGGAGTGGGGGGCTCAGGAAGGAGCTCCACAGCCCCACCACTCCACATATGAGGACTCTGGGGACAGCCAGGACCTCCCATGCCACCTCCCAGCTTTGGAGGGATGAGTTCTCACCACCCCCCCAGTCCCAATCTCAGTCCCAGGAGCTTCACCTTCTGCCATTTTCTGGAGGTCCTTGAAGATGCGCAGGTGGTGGGCCAGGTCAGTGGCCAAGATGATGTCCCTCATCAGGTCCAGCATGCGCTGGTAGTCCTGTGGACAAGGCAGCTGCCGTGACCAGCTCTGTGCCCCCGCCAGCTCCCGCATCCCCAGGGATCCAGGGATGGGGAGCTGGGGGTCTGGAGGGGACACAGGGGCTCAGCACGGGCAGGGGGTGGCCCGGGAGGGGCATCAAGGTGGGGGGCTCACCTTTCGGGAGAAGTGGTCAAAGATGTTGCAGCCTTGGCTGTTGAGGATGGCGATGGCTTGGGCAAAGTGATGCCTCTGCGGGAGAAACCAGGATGGTGGGAGCAGGCAGGGAGCAGGCAGGGATGCTGGCACGCAGCCAGAACCCCAGAGAGCAAGGCAGTGGGAGGTCTGGGGGGTCTTACCTCCATGACAGAACCCTCAGAGCTGTAGAGCGCGGCCAGGACCGATTTCTGCAAGGCAGAGCAGCCGGAGTGATGGAGCTATGGGGGCGAAGAGGCCCCCCAGCTCTGCCCCTGTCCCCGTGCCCCCCACCCCTGCCCATCCCAGCGCTGGGCTCGGCTCACCGAGGCCACCTGGAAGGAGTTATTGGTGCCTCTGTGGTCCAGGTCGTGGCACATGCAGGAGATGAAGAGGGCAAAGATCTCGATGTCTCTGGGGAGGGGGAGGAGGGAAACTGAGGGAGGCAGGAGGGCAGGGAGCACCCCAGCTGGGCCAGGGGATGAGGGACAAGGACGGGGATGGCACCTGGCCTTACTCTAGATAGTTGACAAGCTCCAGGTTCTTGTAGAGCAGGTAGCAGAAGTGGGAGACAGAGAAGGCGTGCATCCAGTTGTGGTAGGGCGGGTCACGGTACCCCTTCTTCACCATCAGGCAGAACCTGGCAGGGGAACAGGCCCATGCAGGGGGCAATCTCACCCCCTGGGGACCTCCACCTGGCCAGGTGTCCCCCGGGCAGTCATGGGGTTGGGGATGGAGAATGGGATGGGGATAAGGATGGGACGGGTTGGGAATGGGGAAAGGGACAGGGATGGGGACAGGGAAGGTGGATCATGATGTGGATGTGGTTGTGGTTGTGGATAGGCACTGGGACAGGGACAGGAACAGCGATGGGAATGTGGATGGGGATGGAGACAGGGAAGGGAACAGGGAAAGGAGTGGGATAAGTGCAGGGAAGGTGGATGGTGATGAGGATGGGGATGAGAAGGTGGGCAGTGGAGAAGGATTGGGACCCACCTGGTGAGCGTCTGACGGTCCATCTTGTAGTTGTTGATGAAGTTCATGTCCTGCAGCATGCTCAGGATGGCCTGCAGAGGGGACAGGGTGGGTGGCAGGGGGTGACAATGCCCACCATAAGCCACCCCTGCCCAGCAGGGAAATGCTCAAGGATGCAGCCACATTCCCCCATCCCAGCCCCCCAGGGCCGATGTACGTGACCTGACAGAGGACAGCAGGGGACAGTGGCGGCTGAGGACTGTCCCCACTGCCCTCACCATGGAGGTGTCGTCCTCGGGCAGGGAGCGTGGTGTGTAGGTGAAGCTGGCGAAGTTGGGGTCGATGGTGGACACGGGCTGGATGCCCTCACTCAGCAGCTTGGTGTACTCATCATCTGACACCTGCGGGAGCCATAGCCGGTGGCCCATGTTGTGACCAGGTCCCCAGAGTGACCCAAGGGCCACATGAGCCACAGTGAGAGCAGAGAGCCCTGGGATATCAATGCCACCCCACTGTGCCACCACCTCGGGGTGAAGGGTGGGGGCACCACACTGGGAGCAGGGGTCCCACCCCTGTCCCCATCCTGGTCCCTGTCCTCATGCCACCTCACCTTCATGTGGTACATCATCATCTCGTTGGCCAGATGGCTTCGGTACTGTGCCTCGTTCACCTTCTTGTACAGCAGGGACTGCGGGGCGGGATCGGGGTACGGGAGCGCTGGGGGTGGGCAGACACCCTCCAGCACCCCCAGCCCACCCTGGCACCCCAGCACATCCTTATCCCCACGTCTGCCCTCCCCCACCACCGCTTGTCCCCACAGAACAGGGACCACACACACGTCCCCTCGTCCCTCTGTGCCGTGGCAGAGCCGGGACCCCCCCTGTGTGTGACCCCCCGGGCTGGGCCCCCCCGGCACGCACGTGGGCGATGCTGATGCCGCAGTAGATGGAGAAGGCGGTGGCCAGGTCCTCGTCGAACTTGCTGAACCAAGGGCCGTTGATCTTGTTGACCAGCTCCGCTACCCCGATGACCTCTGGAGCAGAGGGGGGGCAATGGGGGGGTCAGGCCCGCGTGCTGGGGACAGTGCCACGTCCACGTGACGAGTGACCAGACCACCACGTGCTGACGGAGGCACCCGTACCCCCCACACCAGTGTGCCCCCCATGCCAGTGTGTCCCCCTCGCCCCCTCACCCTGGCTCTCGTTCTTGATGGGGAAGCAGAGGATGTTGCGGGTGCGGAAGCCGGTGCTGTCGTCCACCCCGCGGTAGAAGAGCGGGTGTGAGTAGGCATCCTTGATGTTCAGGATCTTGCCGGTGGTGGCCACGTGCCCGGCGATGCCCTGGTCCGCCGGGATGCGGATCTCGTAGCTCTGCGGGCAGGGGGAGGGCGTCACCAGCAAGGCTCGGGGGGCGGGACACACCCCCGGACCGCCCAAGTCCACCCCGCTGGCCCCGCGCTCACCTCGTCGTCCACCACGCCGCCGTCGAACACCTTGGCCACCAGCTCGTGGCTGAGCCGGTCCAGCAGGAACACGGAGCATCTGCAAGGGGCGCCGCTGCCGTTGGCACGCGCAGGGGAGCCCCGTGTCCCCTCCGTGTCCCCCCACGCGTGTGCCCCCCTCCCACTCACATCTCGGCGTTGCTGAGGTTCCGGGCCTCCGTAATGATCTCCTGGAGCAGGACGGACACGTCATCTGTGGGGGGTGCAGGGCAGGGTCAGGGACCCCCAGCGGGGCAGCACGGCCCCCCCACCCCACACTCGGGCAATGGAAGGGGGGGGCTCAGCTCAGGGGCACAGCAGGAAGGCTGGGGGGCACGGATGGACAGGGCTCTGCGTGTGTGGCATGTGAGCAGCACGTGCGTGTGTGCAGCAGCACCTGTGTGTGAGCAGCAGTGCCCATACGTGTGAGCAGCAGTGCCCATATGTGTGAGCAGCAGTGCCCATACGTGTGAGCAGCAGTGCCCATACGTGTGTGCAGCACATACGTGTGTTCTGCAGCAGCACGTGTGCACACGTGTTCCTAAGAGCTCCATGGTCATGCCACATGCACATGTGCAGCTGTGCAGCGTCACTGTATGCCAGGCTCTGTGCCAGCTCATGTCACCCTTCTGTGACCATCCCCCAGCAAGGGGACAGGGTCCTCCCTGGCTGGGGACAGACCCCAGTGCCACCACCCCCCATGTGCTCCCCTGCCATGGGGGCTCTCCCGTGCACCTACCCAGGTGGGTGAAGAGGTTCTTGGCCACCTGCAGCAGAGCCTGGGGGGACAGAGGGGATGCCATCAGTGACCGGCACGAGGTGGGACACACACACACGTGTGTGACACGGCCCCACGGGCGCTCACCTGGCACTCACACTTGAGCTTCTGCTCCTTCTGGAAGGCCAAGGTGCTCGTGAGCACCGTGGAGGTGTAGCAGAAGCAGTGCTGGATCTTGTGCTCGTCCGTGTCCGTGTAGCTGGCGGGGGGACACCTCAGTTCCCTGTCCCCACTGGCCACCCCCCTTCCTCCACGGTGACAATGCTCCAGCACCCCCAAAGCAAGGGGGTGCAGCCCCACAGAGCCCCGGCCAAGCCACTGCTCACCTCTCCCCGCTCAGCTTGTTGAAGGCGCAGGCCAGTGCCACCACCTGGGAGGTGGCCCGGCTGATGACAGGGACACAGAGCATGGAGGTGACCTCGCAGCCCAGCATGCTGCTCAGCTGCTTGTGCTCCTCCTGCGGGCAAAGGTGAGGAGGGGGTGGAACCAGCACCGCCGGCCGCCCCCGGGAGGCACCGGAGTGACCCCTGTGTGTCCCCAGGGGCAGGGGGGACACGGCTGGTACCCACCTCGCTGATGTCCTTCAAGGTGATGGGCTTCTTGTCCTCCACCACCTGCCCCAGGCGCCCGAAGGTGAGCTGTGGGGGGAGGGGATGAGTGAGCCCGTGGTACCTCCTGCCCACCCCCCCAGACTCCCCACCCCTCACCCCCCCCTGCTCACCGAAAAGCTGATCTCCTCCTCGAGGACACGGTCCCCCACCACCTGCAGGAGATGGGGGGAAAGAGGTGCCCTTGAGGATGACTCTGTGCTCAGGGGGTGTCCTGGCACCCGCTGGGGGGTCAGGGTTGGGAGACCCTCGTGGCACCCACCTGGCAGAAGAGCTGGTGGTTGTCCTCGGAGACGAGCAGGAGGCAGCAGCACAGTGACTGGGTCTCCTGCTTCAGCTGAAGGGATAGCAGGGGGTCAGCACCTCAGCCTGTCCTGAGCACTCCCAGGGCAGGATTTGGCCCCTCCTCTGCCTCCCTGTGCCCAGGGCACCCACACGTGCCATGCGAAACCAGGTGTCCCGCCCCACAACCTCTTCCCTGTGCCTGGGCAGGGTCACTCTGGAAATCACTGATGGCAAGGGCAAGGCTGTTCACTGGACACTACTGGGGGTTGTGTACAGGGTACTAGAGAGCAGTTTTTGGGGTGAGGGTGGCACTGTTAACTCTGGAGACTGTGGATGGTTGTGACGAGGCTGTTCACTCTGGTCACAGCTGGTGACTGCACAGCTGACGCTCGAGGCATGTCTCTGCTTTGGGGAATTTTCTTCTGTTTTGAAATAAAACAGGGCTCCCTAGTGTGTCCCGGGGCTCGGGGCAGGGGGGGGGTCGGGGCCGGCGGGGGGACTACTCACATAGTTGATGACTTTGAGCTGCAGCGAGGCGGCATCCAGGTCATAGAGCTCACCTGTGGGAGGGGTCAGAGTGCCGGGAGGGGCCGGGCACGGTTCCACCCTGCACACAGACACCCCTCCCGGAGTCCCCCACTCACCACAGAGCTGCAGGATCTTGCAGTCCAGGTCGCTGTAGCTGCTCTCAGGCGCCTTCTCAGGCTTGGCCAGGGACGTCTGGGAGGAACTGGTGGAGAGGCTGACCTGGGGCCAGGGCTGCAGCTTCTGCAGGGCTTGCAGGCGCCGGAATGCCACCAGGGCCTGCAAGGGGGGCAGAAAGGACAAGGAACAGCAAGGCTTGGGGGGGTCACAGGTCCCCAGGCAGCGGGTCTCACAGTGCAGAGGGAGTCACTCACATGTCTCTCCAGTGCACGAAGGTTCTGCTCATCCGAGTCACTCAGCTGGCCACAGTGCACCTGGAGGGGGAGTGATGTGAGGGCCCCCATGTCCGGGCCCTGGCTCTGTCCTCCAGAGTCCTGCCCGTGTCCCCACACTCACCAGGATGACACACACCACGGTCCCACTGTTCTTGTCCACCAGCGGGATGATGAGCACTGCGAGCGAGACAGGGTCAGTCCTGGGTGGAGCTCAGCTCTTGGGGTGCATGTCCTCACTGTGCCCCCATGTGTCATGACCCACCCACCCAGCCATCCTCCCCTGCAACCCTCCATCCACCCACCAACCCACTTATCCATCCATTCATCCTTCCACCCATCCACCTCCTCACACCTCCAGCCCTCCACCCACCCCTCCACCTACCCACCACCTGTCCCCCGAGACCCCCCTTCCTCGCAGCCCCCACCTTGCGTGCCAGGGGCCAGGGGTGCTGCCAGGGGGCCCAGGTGCCGGCCAGGGAGCTCGGCAGGGAGCAGCCCCCCGCACTCCAGCCGCTTCTGCTTCCGCACAGCATCCCTGCGGGGACAGGGACACCTTGAGAACCCCCTGGGAAGGGCACCTGGGCAGAGAAACCCCTGGAAAGGGGCAACCTCCTAGGCAGGGACACGTGTGTCCCTGCACACACACACACAGCCCCTGCGCACACACGTGCACATCCAGGATGAGGATGAGGATGGGAAGGGAAAGGAGATGGGCACGAGGATGGAACCGGAATGAGGACGGGGATGGGGCCAGGGGTGGGAAACCTCGTGCCCCCTGTGCACACGCCTGTTGGTGCACAGCAGCCAGGCCACGCCCGTGTGCCCACGCCCAGGCCGGGGGGTGGCCGAGCTCACCTGAGCTTCCCGTCGGGGGGCAGCTCGTGGGGGGGGTCGTCGCAGAGCAGCCGCGTGTCCCCATCCAGCAGGTAGATGTAGACGTGCTCCTGGGGGCAGGGGGCAGCACACACGTGTGTGCAAACACACGTGCGCACCCACATTTGCACACACACACACGGATACATCCTGAACACACACACAGAGTCATGCATGTGTGCACACACCTGCACATGCGTGCACACACCTGGACATGTGCACACACCTGCACACACCTGGACACACCTGCACACATGTGCACACACCTGCACACGCGTGCACACACCTGCACACATGTGCACCATCCACACCCAGCCATGGCCGGGGCTCCCCGTGGAATGGCTCTGGCACAATGCTCACCAGCACCAGGGCCATCGGGATCAGGGCCATCAGCACCCCCAGGGACACCAGCACCCCCAGGGACACCAGCACCCTCAGGGACACCAGCACCCCCAGGGACACCAGCACCCTCAGGCCATCACGAGCACCGGGGCCACCCCCAGCACCCTGGCCCATATAGGGGCAGAATTGTGCAGAGGGATGGGGACAGGGAGACCCCACCCCAGGCTCAACCCCAGAATCAACCAAAGAAATCAAGCAACGAATCCACCCTCCATCCCCTCCCAGGGCTCCCCCCAGCCCAGGGGGTCTCAGCAACCCCACAACTCCCAGGACGCTCTGCCCCCCACTCCCCCCAGGCCCCCACGTACCACGGCGGGCAGCAGGGTGACGAGGGCGTGGCGGAGGGCATCCCGCAGGGCGGGGGCATCCAGCGCAGCGCCCAGGCTCAGCAGAGCATCCTGCAGGGACGGCACAGCAGAACGGGGCGTCACCGGGGCCCCACACCAGAGGGAGGGGCGTGCGGTACCCACCCTCCCTCACCCCACCATGGCACGGGTCCGCCTGCCCTCAGACCCCTCGCAGCTGCCTCCAGCCTGCCCGGAGCCTTCTGGGGGGCCGAGCCCTCCTGTTGTGGTCAGTGTCCATGATGGGGGATACGGACACATCCCAGAAAGGGGGGGGAGGCTTTGACACTGAGCCACACTGCCCTCGGTGCTAGCCATGCCATAAAGCACCACTGGGAAGAGAAACGGGACAAGATGGATAAAAGCTCATCTGGGGATTAACAACCCCGTGGAGGGATGGAGGTGTTGGGACAGACACATGGAAAAGCTGGGGGCACAGGGGCCTCCGTGATACAACCCTCCCAGCTCTGCTCCTGCCTCCAGCCCTCGTCTGGGAGACCAGGATGAGGATGACGTGATGATGGGAATAGTGGATGCTCCGAGTCAGACACCAGACAACAGCTTTGGGATTTGCTCTTCCTTCAGTCCCAGCTCTGCCAGGCAGCTCCAGGCTGCATCCCTGACAACCAGACCCGAGGACCGTTCCCAACCCTGCACCCGGGGATCCCCCCCGGGACAGCAGCCCCTCTCCATGCCACCCCAGCCCTGAGCCTGGGGACACCCTCGGCTGCGGGGCGGGATCCGATGGCGCGTGGGAGCGCGGCTGGAGGCGAGGGCGCTTCCGGCTGGAGACAGCGGCGCTGGATGTTATTCCAACAGGGCCGCATCTCCAGTCACTTACACACACTGGAGACACATGCACTGTAGAATACAGCCAGGCCTGGGCCAGGTGGCCGTCCCGCCGTCCCTCTGTCCCACCGGATCCTCCACAGCAGCCCCCCCGGGGGCGGGGGGAGATGGGGCAAAGTCTGAGCAGGACCCCGGGTCTGCTTGGGGCGTCACGTGCCGGTGGCACACTTGGCACGGGGACAGACAGGTGGCAACTGGACGTGGGTGGTGGCTTTAATAGGGCTGGGAATGTGGGTCCTTCTCTGGAGTGGTGAGGGGAAAGCTGCAGGAGCTAAAAAAAGATACTCCCAAGATGAGGCGAGAGCGGCTCAGGCAGGCAGGGAAGTTTGCAGAGGAGGAGGCAGGGGGAGTGAGGGTGGGCTGGGAAGGGCGTCACACTCATTCCACTTGTTCCACTGGTGCCAATAAATGGCTCATCCCACTCACCCTATCGTCCCACTCAGCCAACTCACCATATTAATCTAGTTCATCCTACTCATCCCATTCAATGGCTCATCCAACTCAAATGCTTGTCCCACTCATCCTGCTCATCCCACTCAACCACTCATCCCCCTTATCCCACTCACCTTGCTTGTCCCATGCATCCAGCTCGCCCCGCTCATCCCACTCAACGGCTCGTCCCACTCATACCACTCATCCTGCTCATTCCACTTGTTCCACTCATCCTACTTACCCCACTCATCCCATTTGTCCCACTCGTCCCACTCCCAGCCCAGAGCAGGGGTTTGCCCCGACACCCTCACCCCATGTGACACCCTGTCCCTCAGGCCTGGGGGTGCTGCAGCCCCGCTCTGGAGGCTCTGCTGGGACACGGCCTGGGCCTGGAGACAGCACAGCCATGTCCTGGGGGTTGCCATAAACAGCCTCTCCCATGGGGTTCCCCATGTCCCACTCCCAGAACTCCATGCCATGGGCCCCATCCAGGCACCACCCCAGTCTGGGTGAGGCTCCTCCAGATCCATCTCTACTCCACGGATGCCAGGGCATTTGGATGCATCCCTGGTGCAATGGGATGCTCCAGCACCAGCACGGAGATGAAGCTATTGGCTACCCCATGCCTGTCACCAGGAATGTCACCAGGACCCACCAAGCCAGGCTCATCCAGCTCATCCAGCTCTGTACCTGCACCCCTCTCCCAAGGGCAGTTCCCAGTGCGTGCTCCACATCCCAGCTTCCGTGGAGAGCAGAGCTATGGTAATGCTTCCCAAGGGGGCACGGCGGGTTAATTAACTTCACCGAAACAGGAGGCACAGAGGGATTGCAATTCCCAGCTGCTGAAGCAGAGCCCGATGCCCTCATCAGAGCCCGATGCCCTCATCCCAAGCACTGCACACCCAGCAACTCCAGAGGAAAATACTGCATGGAGAGGACTTTGGGAACAGATCCCAGGACAGGGTGTGGGGCAGGGGACGTGGCATGGCATCACCAACAGCCCCAGGAGCTGAGGATGCTGCTGCTGCTGCAGAGCAGGTGAGCAGCACCTTGTCCCTGTCCAGGTTCCTGCCTTGTCCCCATGGCACACTCACATGGCCCCGTGGACTCTCACCCATGGAGTGTTGTCACCCTTGCTCTGGCCTGAGAGGGCAGGGATGCTGGTCTCACTCTGCTGAGCTCCTGAGCTGACAGGGTGACCCTGGGGACCGTGATGCCAGCAGGAATTTTGCCAGCTGCCCTTGGCCAGCATCCCATGGTGCGGTGCAACACCAGAGCTGTATCTGCCTCAGTATTCCTGCTGGAGCTGGTAGGTGATTAATGACACCATTCATCTCCTCAGAGTAAGGATCTGTCTCTGCTCCAACACAGACTCCTGCTCTGGCTCCAGCAAAGCCAAATCCCACCACAGCCCAGCCTCTGGAGCACTGCCTGCTCTCCCTGCCATGGAAAATGGCCCTTTTTAATTTTCCCTCTATTTTTTCCCCACGGAGAGTGGCAGCAGCATCCCATCCCCAGCCATAAGGTGGTGGGAAACTCCAGCACAGTCCTCCCGACACCCATTCCAGGCTTACACAGACCCAGCTGGAATGGAAAAGCAGCTTTTCCCTCCCAGTGGAGGGAATTCAGCAGCAGTGAAAAGGAGGCTGTCTCTCCTTTTTTCGGGAGGGACAGCCACGTCTGTGCCCTGCTCCCCACACTGGCCACAGCACCTTGGTTTGTCCCCCCTGACACCCTCAGCCCCTCTGGATGTTTACGGAATAGAAAAATCCCATCCTGGATGGCTTCCTCTCAGGAAAGGCTCATTTCACACCTGCCATGGGGAGGACACCAAGGGTTTGGGGAGGTCTCACTGGCCTCACAGGGTCTCAGTCCCTGGACTTGCACCCCTTCCCCTGGCCTTGCTCCTGGGGGATGAATGGAGACCCCCAGGGTGAGGAGGAGCCCCCAGGAGCAGGCAGAGGCCAGATCCAGTGCAGTGAGGCACCCGCTGGGGTGTGCAGCCCCCTTGAGGGTACCTGGAATTTGGGATCTCTCCCAGGAGGGGACACTCGGCCACTTGGCAAGTAGAGCTTGTACCGGGCAGAGCTCAAATCCAGGACCTGCCATCCACAGGACTCCTCTTTAGCCACGGGGAAGCTGAGCCAGGCAGCAATGCCTAGTGCCTGGGAGCATCCTGCTCCTGGGGGAATGCTGAGCCAGGCTGCAGGACCCCCACCCTGCCTTGCAAGGGGATGCTGGGCCGAGGGGGCCCCAGATGGATCCTGCCATCGCTGCTGGAGCACCTATGGGTGCTGGCTCCACAGGAGGATGCTGGCAGCAGACCAGGCTTCCATGGCAGGCTTCTGCCACATCCCTCCCCAAGGAACCTCGAGGAAGTGAATCATCTCCCCGCCAAGCTTCCAGCCCAGCTTTGCTGTAAAGATTCCAAGTGAATGATCTGCCAGAGGTGACCCTTTGAGCTTGAGGCGTCCATCTCACTGCGAGCCCTCGGAGCTCAGCTCCTGCCCCTCCAGTGGGACTTCTTCTACCGGGGAACGCAAGGGAAATGAGCCCAATTAATTCTGGCAGTGGATTATTAGTGCATTAGCCCCTGCCTGAGTGATCACCCTTGGGATGGAGCTGGACATCACTCCGTCTGGACAACTTCACCCCCAGTTGGGGACCCCAAATCCGATTAGAGCATCCGAGATGCTGACTGCACAGCTATCTGTGCCCGTGGGCAGCGCATCCCAGTACCCACATCCCACGCGTGTGCTGCCCGGTGGGTGTGCCAGGCTCAAGGTGCAAAGGGATGGGGATGCTTGGGAGTGCAGAATACAGTGAGGAGGGGTCTGGGGCAGGGAAAAGGACCCCCCTGCAGCCCCTCTCACACCAGCCCCATGTCTCTCATAGGGGGTTTGCAGGCTTCAAGGACAGCGGAGCTGCTCCCCAGGGCATTCCCCATGGAGCAGAGCCCTGTATGAGGAGGGTGACCCCGGGGTCCCCCCATCGCAGTCCCACCAAGCTGGGGCTGGGGGCTCAGGGCTCCCTCCCACTGTGGGCTCTTCACGTAGGATGCATTTTTAGCTGCCAGTCTCTAGATCTTGTTACATCTGACAGTCAAAAAGCAAAATCCTGTTCAGATTCCTGGGAAGCAGCCTACCTCCACCGGCACAGCCCCTCACTGCTCCCCACCCTGGGGCCCTGGCCCTGGCCAAGGGCTCCCTGCCTGCCCCAACCCTGCAGGCAGGGACACCCACACCCTCTCCTCTGCCCCAGCTCGCTTTCACCTTTCCAGGAAAAGTGATGGGGAAACTTTCTCCCCTCCCTCCTCCGGTTCAAGGAGAAAGATGCTGGTCCAGGACCCCCTTTTGCCCCCGCCCGTTGCAGCCGGGGCTGTCTCCAAGGCACGGGGACGGATGTCCCTGCCTTTGTCACCTCTCCAGCGCGCGGCCGCAGGGTGACAGCGCCAGGGGGAGCAGCTGATCCCCCCGGGCCCCCAGGCTGAGCCACAGCTGCCAGCAAACGCCCAGCCTGCGCCCGCGCCGCCCTGCCCAAGCATTTGCAGAGCAATCTGGCGGCGTTAAAAATATCCCGAAATATCCCCGAGCCGTGATTCAGCCTCCTCTCCCGCCTCCGGCGATGCTAAGCCCCCCCCAGCCCCACTCCCCTCCCGGGGGGCTGCTCCCCCCCCGGCTGCTCGGCCCCGTGCTCCGGCCCAGGCGGTTAAATATAGCCGAGCCCTGGCCGTGTGTTGGCAACGCGGGGCTGACAACAAGGCAGGGCCGGCG